ACTGATGCTACATGCTACAGAAATTCTTCAATCAATGCAGTGAATAAGGTAAATGCATATAAAAGCAGCACAGGATCTACATGCATTGAAATTGTGTCTCGAACTGGATGAAATATTCTGCACATGTGCAAATGAGGATTACAAAGTAATTTCAAAACGCAAAATAGCATTCAAAGCCAAAAGACAAGCAGTAATAACACTGGGAAGCCTTTATTTACCCTCATGTATGATTAGGAAAGGGAAGAAGAAAGATATTAATTTTTTACTCGTAAGTGACTCCTTGCTGACTTATATAGCCAGAGAACAGAACACCTAAGTGAAGAAGTATCTCATGGTTTACTACTGAGCAAGAGCTATTTCACGGCATAAATATCAAAAAGCTCTTCTCTAACAGCGATAAAAATGGTCTTATATTCAGACCTTATTTTACAAGTAGAAGGTCAAATCTATCTATTACACTGAATTCAAATTTAAAAATACTTTAAATCATAAAGCTTTTGAAAAGAAATTTAAAGGAATGGACTAATGACAGAAACTGGGAAGGGAGGTTGTATGCAGTAGCTTTAAATATCCTGTTTTATTAGCAGAGATATCATGTTTTTTCTACCAGCTACAGAAAAAACTCCAAAAAGGTCAACAAGACCAGCAATGTCTAATTGAGTGCAAAGAAGACTTAAAAGTAAATGGTTATGTTTCAGAAAAGAAAGACATCTGCTAAGCAAAGAATAGAGAAAAAAAAAAATACACCCAACATAAATTTTAGTGCTTTTTTGGTATAAAAATAATGGCAGATAATGAAAGATTATGAGGGAATAGTTTCTAAAGAAATAAATTCTAACAACAAAGCTTTTAAGGACATAAGGAAAGCAAGAAGTCTAAAAGAGAAACAGACTATTAATTGATTGTGTTCCAAAAAATAAAACCAAAGCAAGAAATTAAAATAAACAGTGTTGGCCACAGACAGGGTCAAAGAAGGCCCTAAACTGTGCCAAAGACTGATCTACAAAAATGTCAGAAAAAACATAAAAGTTTTTGGAAGATAACTGACACAAAGTCGATTTGTTACTCCCTAACACCCAATAGCACTCTCTCAAGACTTCTAAAGGATCTCAGAGATAGCAAGGCTGACATACAGTAGTGGTAGATAATTTGTAAACTAAATAAACTCTGGAGTGAGAGGAAAGGAAAGCGATAAATGTGACTAACTTTAAAAGAGGGATTCAGAGTAGAGCATGAGAAGTGAGTACCTAATCAGTCTGACTTCATATCTAGGCAAATTGATAAAAATATGTAGCAATGGAATCAGTAAATATGTGGGAAATATAAGGGGAAAAGTTAGAACAGCTGCTTCAAGAGAATGTCATACTTCAAGGGTGATGAATTTCTAAAAAGATAATCAACGCTTTATCACAAAAGGCAGAAGACAGCAAAGAAATTCTCTCAGTTTTTTTTTTTTTTACTTCAGGACAGCAGTTTAGGGAGAGGGTGGAGAAGACAGGCATAGATGAGAAAGAAGTCAGGATTGTAGTGGTAGATTTCTTGTGCCTAAGTTCAATATCATCTGTATAACTGCTGTACTGAATGGCAGAGGAAAGGGCCTCATGGCAAGATGAGCAGGATCAGTGTCATAACTGGAGACTCAGTAGTGTGTTAGGGTCAGTCTGGATCACTGCAAGGGTCAAGTTTATGGCACAGATAGATGGTGACTATGAACTATAGCACACACACTTTTCACTTGAGCTATGATGGCAGACATAGACAAGAGGATGAGATGTGGCAGAGGCTGGGAAATGCCTTGCAAATAAATAGAGCTGTAAAGATACAGAGAATGATTCTGTTCTTAAACCAGCTGAATGGTGTATTGGAAAAGCAGATTCTATTCTTCTCTGTATATGTGCTGTTAAGTAAATCACTTAAATTAATCTTTCACAAGTTTTATGTTTGGTTTACATACTTATGAGGGGTACCATAAAAAAACAGAAAGGAGATTAATAGTTTTGTCTTTGTAGTAAAACCTGAATACTGTGCAATAAATAATGCGCAGGATCACACACTGTACAATAAATAGACTAGTGGCTTATTAAAATGAGCTCTATCTACTCTTTGCACTGAGGCAAGCCTTTTGGAATTAATATTATGTAATAGGGTAATCAAAAACTGAATCATGATTTATATCCTTAACTAAATTGGTACTGGCATATTTAATTCTAAAGGTTTACTTTCTTTTAAATAAATTATATTATAATCATACTTAGAATCTCCTAGTCTTTTAATGCATTTTGCTTTTATTTATTAATATTTAAATACATTTACTGAAGCAACATGAATACCAAGTGTTTACATACTATTTTACATTCTAGAGTACATTGCAAATATTAACTAATTAGTCCTTTATTAATAATCTGAAAGTTAAGTCATAAAATCTTTCTTATAAAATTTCAAGAAAGAAATTAAGTCATAACTAAGGAGAACACAGCTCAAAAGGGATTATGAGGCAGGTGTGATTTCTGGCACAAATATATTCTCCTTCCTTCCTAGAAAATCATTCAGCTTTTCATCATGTGAAAATGCCCTGGGACTTGAGCTTTATAACCCATAAAGACAGGGAAAAACATACATTCCCAAGGATGGAGAACATTACAATTTCATAATTTTCAACTAATGGATGTCTTTTACATTAACAGCTTGAATTATTTGACTTCTCTCTTAGAACACCATTCTTCAATCTTTTAATTATAGATGTCAAAAATTTTTCTGTGCAGCAATAGATTTATTTTTTAATAGAAATGGTCTTGATTAAAACATAACAATTATCTTGCAATCCTACTTCTTCTTAAAGTCCATTTTTAAAATTGAAAATTCCAAATATCATTCAATTAAAAACTCTTTTTGTTTTATTTTCTGAGATAAGACAACCAGTATTTTAACACAGTAGAGCACAGTTACCATCATCATTGAACTTGTGATACCATCGTATTTACCCCTCAGGAAATCTTTTCTTTTCTAGACACATAAGCAGCTGTACAGTGACCTCACACCACTTAGCTCCAGGAACTGATCCCTTGCCTCTTTTCACCTTAGGCATTTTTAAAATGTGCAACACTTTGTACAACATTCATTTGTTTGCATAAAATACCAGAAGGGAATGCATTCAATAGAACTGAGTAATGGACTATGAGAAGACACTGCTTCTCAAGAAAACATTTCAAAAACATAAGTACAAATGAACCAGTGTCAACCACTTTGGACATTTTCATGCATCAGAATGGTGTATAATATGCATTATAATGCATGTAAAACCCATATACCATTATGCCAGTCAACCCAGCTGATATTCCCAATGGCAAAGTGCTGTGCTCTGGTTAAATCTCCTCTTGGGCCATGGAGTGGCATGGTAGCTAGAAGATCTGGTGTCTGAGGCAGCATTTTTTTTCTGGCCCAGCACCACTCTTATGTAGTTATACTGCTACAGTCTCAAAGATATGAAGTTGAGAGATTTAAAAAAAAGTTATATTAATGTCTCGCATTTATGTGTTCTCCATTGCTATAACAGAGACAGAATTCCTACCAGGCTAATTAAATTTCAGACTGAAATGTGGCAAGCATTGCTAGTGGTGGTCTCTCATTATTGCTCTTTGTTCAGCACTTCCAAAGCAGGTGGCTGAAGCACAAAGCCATGCTGCTGCCATTTAATAAGCAAAGGTGTGGACTTTTAAAGTGGTTTATCAATCAAAGATGTTTCACGCAAACGTCACTGGATTTCACATCTCAAGCTCGTCACTTTGGAAAATTGATTTGTGCTCTTAACTCATGCAGACACTATGAAAAATTTCCTATAATGATATGACATTGCTGACCATACATCTGAGCCATTTTCATTTCAGATAATTTTACCTTTTGAGACTGGTAAAGAGAAAAATGAATGCCTTCATTTGGCCTACTCAGTTTGCTTACTCAAGACTGTCCCGCCATCCCAAAATCATCTGTAAGATCTTTCACTTATGTAAACTCATGAACTGAAATCCAGTATTTGTGTTTCATTGTCACAGAAAATACTTGTCCTATTAACTTATTTCAAGTTTGCAATACATATGGATCTTTAATACTGCAACAGCAAAAGCAGTATTGGTTTCTGCATTGAATTCTATAATGAAAAAATAAAAGTATATAATATTGTCATGTAGAACTTCAGTGTAAAATATCTCAATTGTCTGGGTGATTATCTTTCAAGAATTGAATAAACATAATTCTATGGCAATTGCTAATGCACATGAAAGCAGCAAATAATGGCTATAAGCCAAATATTACAGAAGAAGTTCCCATGTGTTAGCTCATGCTATTTCATGCAAGAAATAGGAAAATGTTGATGACTTTTCCTTTCTTTGTACAGATTAAAGCACAGCTATACATTTATTTAAAACTATGGATACCTTCCTCTATGGTGGGCAAAAGGTCAGAAAGGCCAACGTGCACCCTTTATTTACATTTGGTCTATGTGATTGACATTTGGGGTTTCAGGCATGAAAGAATGACTTCTTGGTTCCCAAATAAGGAGAATCCATCAAGCAACTTAACTCTTCCAAGCATCTTTAGCCCTCCCCATTGACCAGAGTGTGCTCTACTGCTTCCTAACTGGACCCTCTCCCATTACCCTTCCCTGCAGTGGAGCTGCGCTGTGCTCAGAAAGCATGGGCAGGGATACCTTTCACTAGGTTATAAGCAAAAAGATGGCCTAGCTGTGATTTGATTTTTTTTTTAATTGCAAAAGTATCTAAATTGAATTTGATTGAATACTAAAACAAATTTCTACATCTCTTTTACAATATCTTATTTTTTCCTTAATGTTGTGTGTTAGTACAGTATCTAACAAAATACTGCTATTCACTTCCACATGTACTGTTTTGTTCACTGTGATAAAGATGTTTCCCATCTTTTACTAGATAAAATACCAGTAAAGTAAAATGAGGCTACTTTCAAGTACAATAAAAACATGTTCTTACTTGTTTAAGTTTCTTTAGATCTTCATCAAGTTCCAAGTTGTCCAAAATAACAGCAACAAATAAGCTGAGTAGAATCTACAAAACAATTGTAAATTATTTGTTAAAGCTTATCTTATTTTTCTTAAGAAGTATTATTTAATAACATGGAAAAATGAAAGCCCTGCTGATGTAAATGGGATTCTTGCCTTTGACATCTGTTGAACTAATATCACCTGCTACTACATATCTGCTAGCCCTTTTGCAAGTGTAAACTGTTTTTTATCTTATAAAATTATTATTATTTATTATTATTATTATCTCATAATACAACTATTATGAGTTTAAAAATGCTAAATTCTAGGTTTTATGACCAATGAATTATATATATTTAACAATATACTCATTAAAATGTACTTCATGTGAAGAGAAAATTAAATTAATCAGAAATAATAACAACAAACAACAATAATAAGAACAATGACAATAACAACAACAACAATAATAGAAGAAATGCAAAGAAAAATCCTAAAACATCTTGCAAACCTAAGGTGGTTTTCAATTAAGGTGTGACTTTTTAGTCACCTGACAGTCATTTACTTTATGGCCTTTCTTTATGCTCTGAGTGCTTCTGTGAAAAGTAGCTAACTCCACTTTGGAAGATTTGCATGCATCACATCTATAGGAAACTCATGTCACAGAAGAGAAAAATTAAGTGCCTCAATTTACTCAACATTAAATATTATTTAGATATGTTTCTAGGAGGAAGAATCCCAGGGAGAAAAAGAAGTATTAGTATCAGATCACATTTCCCTTGTGTACAGATGCTGACCAGAGGCCAAAGAAGCTGAAAATGTGACTGATACAGCTGAGAAGCAGACAGAATTAGGAGTATGGTGGGTAAGGGAGGATACCACTGTTCAGCATATATTATCAGACAAATTTTATCTAAGGCCGTAAATATATGTACACATGCATAAGTTAACAGCTGCCGGCAACTGCCAAGGTTTTATTCTCTGAAGTTCGATGCAAACATCCTCAAATGCACTGAGCTTCTACAGGCAAGCACCAATTTCTGATATACCAGAGAGGTATCAAAAGGTATCCTAACTCTTTTTTTAAAAAGATTTATAGGCCTAGAATTTTTCTGTGGTCTTGGACCACTGAGTGACAACTAGAGCAAACATATCCTTCCACCACTACTTGTAAATGAAGTGTAAGTTTGCCTGTCACACTGGAAATTTATTCCCTGTGTATAGAGAAGATGAAATTTAAGTGGCTTAATATACCAGACAAGGAGTTTGGAACTGAAACTGCATCTAAGTTGAGCGGACCTTATTCCAAGGCAGGATTTGCTTTCGCTCCATAAACTATAAAGGTACAGAAGACATAGGAAGGGGTCGGGCCCATAAATTAAAAAAATGTCATTGCTAAGAAAAAAAAAAAAAGTTCTTTTGACAGAAGTTAGTTACTTTGTGGCTTTAGTAGCATATAGAATTTGCTGCATCTATTCAAAGCGACATATTGTATGTGCCACATAAACAATACATCATATAATTTTCAGTGATCCTACATTGACACTACTATGAACAGTGGAAGTAAATATTGCATTTAGAATAGCAATGCAAGGCAGAATTCTGATAAAATATATAATATCTAGGACAATGTAGATGCCCAGAGAAGTTGACTTTAGCTTCAGGATAGTCTATGGTGGTGCATGCCCTCATCCCATTCAGGCCACACTATGATCTGAAAAATGCTCATTAGGCCTCAGCCTGGATGAACTGCACTTGGATTAAGCCCCTCTTGAGCTTATCAGAAACACTGTCTGCTCCCAGGAATTAACAGGTGTCTAACAAGCACCTGATTTTAAGTGATAACCTGGGAAACGTACTTTCATTGCCTGCAAAACAACCAAGAGGAATAATAGTTCTGTTATTGAACCTTCAAAGAAAGTTTTTCAAATTGCAGCCAGCATGGAAAATTACCATGACTGAAGCCGACTCTCTAATGATACTATAAACAGTGGTCCAAAGCAAGACCCATCTGAGCTCTCAATTCCCAAAAGAAAGGGTGAATAAGTGTGTCTCACAAACTGATAACCAGATGGCTGTGGAGCCAGCCAGGGACTAATAGTAATGACAGGCAAAAATCATTGGTAATAACCAAGAACTATAGGTATTAAAATGCCATGAGTAAGAACAAGGTTTGATGGAGAACAGGTGTGAGGCAGAGATAGGGCAGCATATTTCCACCAGCTAAAATATAACACAGTACAGTGCAAGCACAAGAATGAGTTGGCATGGACATGGGCATGGCATAGGCATGGACTGTAGGGTGGAATTGACACCACCAAAGACCCCCAGAGCCCTCTAACCCTTTTCCAGAAAGACCTGAAAGAACAAACTGTGCATGATAATTAATTAGCATAGAAAGAGAGAAACTTGTCAATAAAAAGGCTCCTCCCTAAGCCCAGGCAGCACCCTCCAGTACCCTGAACATCCCATTGGCCATACAGACACAGACTCTTACTTGCTGGATAAGCACCCCCAGGATCCTGGACATCCCATGAGCTAGACTGGTGCTGCTGAAACCAGGCTCAGTGTCTCCCCAGCTGGATGAATGCTGGAAGCAGCACTAGTGATCTCTTTTGCTGTCTTTTTCTGTCTCTCTGTCTTTAATTCATGTATACCTCTTTAATGTCTCTTTTCCCTTTAACCTTACTCCATTATCCAAAACCCACTGCCATGTGCTTATATAGTAGGTCAGGGGCTAACATTTGGTTAACATGCCAAATGGAACTTTGTGGACCCTCTGACTTTTGTCATTTATTTTGACCAACAAGCATTTATAAAAACTACTTTGATCCCTAGTTGCTAATGAAGAATTTTGCTATAATTCTGTTAAGATTTTACAATATGGTGTTTTGCTTCTTTAGATAACCTGTTCATTCTATGATACTCAGTACATGCTGCTCAAAGCATACCAGTTAAGGAAGTGCAGTTCCATGCTACAAAGAAGAACAGTACTCATTAAATCTATCATTTATATACCATCTTGCTGATTCATGCACTGATATATATTATGGCAAGACTTTCATTAACTCCCTTTTTTCTTTTTTCCAACAAGAACCAAAGAAAATGCACCACAAAAGAAAACTTAAATGCAAACTTGTTATTTGTTTAACTTCCTCTGCCACCATCTCAACTAATTACAGTCCTTGTTTCCAAGTGAGTGAGTCTTTTTTGAGCTTCAGTTTTTCTTTGCCTTCTTATGTGAAACCTATTAATTTCTTTCCAAGTCTCTACAGTATGCTATGCCAAATGCCTGCAATTATCATTCTCAATTCTAATTGTCCCCCCTTTTCTAGTTGGTGAAAGTAATTTCTTCATTTGACTTTACTCTTGTTATTCTCTGACGGCTGTTTATTCTTAGAATGCTTCTTTTTGGTTTTAGTAGCAGCCCAACCATTTTCATGCTCCCTTACCAGTTCCATGTTATTTTGTTTTAAATTTCTTTTGCCTATAGAGAAGTCTGTCCGACATAGTTTTCTCTTCCGAAGTTTGAGGAAGATCTTACAATTGAAACCAAAATTTCATAAGCTTAGATAATTCTGCAAAGTAGTCTTTGCAGGGTTTCTTTATTCATGTAGAATTTGCATAGGTGAATGAGAACAAAAGTGTACCCTTATGGAGCAAAGCAAGGACTGTGTATTTAAATGCAAATTCCCTGCAAACGGACTGAGGATGGTGTACAGAAAAGTGACTTCCCTCCTAGCAAAATCAGTGCTTTCAATAAACAAATAGAGAAGTCCCAGATGATTCTTTCAAAATAAGGAACATAAAACAGAATACTAAAATTGCTCTTACAGCTAAATTATTTCTCAATTAAGATGTGAATTTTTAGCAGAGAGGTCACTTGACACAATTTTCCTTTAACGGACTTGCTTAATACTCGTCTGAGAAGTAAAAATGAATTGCTGATTAGAAAATACTCTTGATGAAGAATCAAAAAAAAATCAATCAAATTCTCTTACCAGTAAATCTATGACCAAAACCACACCTCAATTATAACCTCAATTCCCAAGGAGTTTATAAGATCACTCCAGCATGAAAAATTGTATTTTCTGTGAAAAAATTACATGTCCTCTATATCTTCTGATATATACATTTGTTTGGCTCATGCTTTGATGTGATTAAGCAGCTCTAAGAGCAGGAAATGCACTTTATTGCCATTTATAAAATGGTCAAGTTTTGAATCCATATGAAGGAATCCACTGCACCCACAATTGTAGTCCAACTATTCAGTCTTTAGAAGTGAAATAGGATATAGTGTAAAGTAAAAGAAGTAAATGGATGCTGGCAGAGATTGTAGAAATACAGTTAGTACCTTATGTAAGTAGACATGTAAGCAAAGAAAGAAAATTGAATGACAAAAGTGAAAATAAGCCTATGTGCATCAAAACCTGCAGTGAATGGAAAATAAAAAAAGAGCAATAGTAGGAGTGAATTAAGGGTGCATAAAATGGTTATTTTCCTGATTGCAGTATTTTCTCTGTATTAATATTAAAATAAAGCAACAAGCTCTTACACGATAATCAAAGAGAGTTTTCCTTCACATTTTCTCTATGAAAGAATGCAATAATCATATTTGAAATACATACAGAAAAAAAGGTTGATTTTTGGTTTTTTATATAATCCACATTTCTGTTTGCATGCAGGAACTGCTGTATTAGTTCTAATAATTTATTGCTTGATATACTATATCATATATTTTCCATGCATTGATTTTGTATCAGGCAACAGGAGAGTAGGGATGACTAGTTAAAGGTTTATATACACTTATATTGTATAAGTGTAAGGTTTTACACTTCTCACTTTAATTGCTGTTGCAAAGAGAATGCAATGAAAGCTGAGGAGACCACTTCTACATGACAAATAAAATCACTTAACTCTGAAATCATTAGAGCTGTGAAGGTACAAGGCAGATAACAATTATATTGTTAGCCTGGCAGTGTGAATTGGATCTAAGAAGAACAAAATGTCACACCAGAACAAAGGCCACCACCTCATGTCACATGGCTGAAGGGTAAATTTATTCTACCACATCCACAAACTAAAAGCTTCCTATGCTAAAAATGAGCATTACAATTACTTTTAACTAGCTGAAAATAATAAGTAATACAAGAGCAATGAGAGTAATTCAAAATGAAACGAAGCACTGCACTTTCATTTGTGACTGAAAACTTACCAGAGTAGCAAAAAGATGATATAGTATAAAATAAATGGCAACCACTGGTGCCCACATATGTCCTACAGCATTCAGTGTCTGATCCATAACATCGACCCATCCTTCCTGTGTGAGAATCTGAAACATTGACATGAAAGCCTGCAAGAAATAGAATTGCAAACATATTAATGAATTATACTAATATGGTTTTATTGACACATTTCTAAAACTGATTTAACAGAGAGGCACACCTGGTTTGGTTAGCTTTTTAAACCTTATCAAATGTGCTTAACTTTTAAAGCCAAGTAGAAGGCTAAAGGAGAAATAAATAGCTTGATCTTTGACAGAACTGTAATCTTCAATTTTTAACACAGCCCTAGCTTCATTAGCATATACAAAGGATCTTTTGGTTTCCTTCATGGCTGGAAAAATAGGATAAATATTCTGAGCATCATAGATCATTGTTTTGAATATTATACTGTATTGTAATTTTTTGATTATGCTTTTTCTTCCATGTTTCCTCTCTCTAAATATAACTATAATAAAGTATTATAATTAAATGTGACCATAAATTATGTTATCTTAATAGCAGAAGCATCTGAGGCAATCCACAGATGTGACTAACCAACACATGGCAACACATGGCAAGGTCTCTGCACCTGCACTTGATTCAGCCAGTCAGACTTTTCCTCTATATTTTGTAGATAGCATTTTTTTGCGGAACTATTCTTGCAACATTTTCAAATTCCTTGAGACCAGGTACACGTGTCAAAAGCAGAGGAAGGAATAGGAATGTTTCAAATAATTTATTTATTTAGTGATAGGAAAATATGAAATCGGATAAGCCTAGAAACCAGACACCTTTGAAACCCCAGCTGGAGCCTACAGCACCAACCAGAATTGAACTCAACATGAGCAATGTGTAACTGCAAGATGTACATCCTACACAGACATTGAGGAATGCACACTGCCTAGGAAACAGAAGTTTGAGTATGGTATCAAAGTGAAATATCTTGACTGTCTCAATGAGGCCAAACTATTGCACAAGTTTCTTATGCTATTGCCTGACATTGAAAGTATTCTCTTTCCAGACAGTAAGGATCAAAGCTGATATCCTACTGAAGTTTATGCAAAACAAAAAAGTGTTAGAAACTGGAAACAACAATGCTGCTTACAGCTAACAGGATCCCTAGAATTCAAAATGTTAACACAGTTACAAGGAGGTATTACATCTGTTCTCAGTGTACCCAGTAGCAGCAGATCAACACATTAATGCAATGGCACAAAGCAAAAAGGATTCTTCTTGTCAAACCTGTGAGAAAACAGTATCCAGGCAGCCCTTCACTGCAACTTACTCTAAACCAAAACCTGTGCTGGAAAAGCTGAAAACATGTAGCTATACAAACTTATGTGCCTGGGAAAGAATGAAATGGTTCTAATTAATTTTTAAAGATGCTGGCAAAAATAACTGTGTGGGAGACCTCAAATTTATATTATTAGTATAAACCACACGCAAATACTTTGCTTGGGCTCTTTATAAAATTTATAGAGTTTTTCAAACAAAACACTGATTTATCTAGGATGTTTCTTCCAATGTTTCTTCTAAACCAAACCATTAAGGTTATATCCCCACTCTTAGGGGAGACCACTCCAGATTGTGACTTCTCACCTTCAGTAAAAGTAAATTTACTCTAGAGAAGACTGTCCATGTGTATGCTCACAACACTTGGCTTTGCCCCTGTGTGACATCCCTATGGCTAACAATCATTGATATTTGGTAACAAGAAGCTGTTTCAAACTATATGAAGGGGGATGTGGTGTGACTCGAATAGTGAAAGCAAGTGTACGTCAAGGGCTATCTGCTTAAAATTTGAAAGGAGGGCCTGCAGTTACAGAGCATGCTGAGATGGGGTAACGGGGCTAAGGCAGAGACAAGCTAATCCAGTGCATCTTGTTATGCAGGCACTGCATAAAAGACTCTGCCTTTCTGGAGTCCTTTCTGGACTCTGCCTTCCCAGTGTGAGAGGACAATTTCCACATTCATACCTGGGGACTACCTTGGAGAAATTTCGCTGGAACCAGAAAAGAAGTTACAGAAGACAAAAAGCAGTATCAGAAGACCACTGATACTGCCTGTCCATTCTTTCACTGACCACCAATAAGGATCCTAGCACTAAGGCTTTTTCTCCTCTGTTGGTTTAAATGATACATATTTTAAAGTGCAGAAAGTGAATCATGTTGCCTCCGGGTCATATTTGGAGGAAGAACTATGAGTTTTTACTCTGTTACAGAGTTCATAAACTTAGCTTCTGAGCGTTTTAGAAGTAATTTGCCTGATGATTCACATAAAAAAGCCCCTCATCAAAGTCCAACTTGGTTTCTTACTGCTTCTGCGTTCTGTGGGACTCTGAAGCAGACAGAAGCCCAAACACCCTGCTAGGTTAAGACCAAGAAGTTGAGTATTATTTTTACAGTTGCTTTTCAGAATTAACTCACACTAATCAAATTTTCAGAGATGCTTAAACCTACAAGATACAATTACAAAAAGTGAAGCACAGATGAACATGGAGTAAACCAAGGCATCCAAATGAGAAATTACACATGTTCAGAGAGAAGTTAAACATCAGAAACATCAGACTTTTATTTCTACACTGGAAACATCCTGACCAAATGTAAAGTCACAGGTTTTCTTTTGAACACAAGTCCCACAGAGGACAAAGGCTAGCATGAACTAGAAACAGCAGAAAAAAATGCTGGCAATTAGTTTTCTGTAAATTCTTTAGGGTGTTTAAAGTCTTTGGTATGTTATATATTTGCAGAGGCCAAGCACAAGGGCTGAAATTTGCACAGTGCCCTATCCTTTATGTTTCTGCCATTATTTTGGTCTTAACCAGCAGATTGCCAACCTACAGCCACGTCCTCCCTTCAAATGAGTGCCCCCTCCCAGCCATGTGCACTGACTCTACATTGCACAAAATTACAAACTCTTAATACTAACTCTTTTCCTTATTATAAAATCATTTGCTCCCCATGCAAGACATGCAGAGTAAGAAACATTTGGGATCTTTATCTAGGAAAGGCCTTTTGTAGCCAGCTCAGCATGCATGAAAGAAGCAAATACCCCATCAGTGCTCAGCACTGCTTCTCAGGTCTCAGCTTCTCTTTGTGATGGGGAGCTGAAGCTAAACCAGGCAGCTGTGATTGCCTGCACTCAGAGCCAGTAGCCATCATACCTGATTGGTGTGGCACTCCTTGCTGAAGCATAAGGTGGGCACTACATGAAATAATACACCCTACTGCTGGCTTTAAAAATACCTGAAGGACTGGATAACTGAACTAGTGCAGTATCCTTTCTTCTGAATCACAATTAACACAGCTTACTGCTTTTAAAAAAAATATTTATTTTACTTAATTCTTCAAGTTTATATTTCTTAATTATTCAGGTTATAGAAATATGTTTTGGACTCATCATTAATACAATTAATAATAGATTAATATGGAGAAGATATTAATTTAATATCAAAAAATCGAATCTTCCATCCAAACCAGTTGTCAGGAAAGCATATAGTTTTATAAAATGGCCTTTCAATATAATTTAAGCATTTTGTTATGCCATTAAATTCCAGTATAATTCAAAAATTAGTTTTAAGAAAATAAGGCAGTGCACAATAAATATGTGCTTTGCACCAAGCAATCTTCTTTGGAGCAAGTTATTTTTAGCTGAAAGGTGTACCTCACTGTTTATTTTAAAATTAATTTGAAATGCAACTAGCTGACAGAATCAACATCTGTGAAAACGAGACTTAGAAATTTATGCAAATGGTGATTTTCTGAATTAATTTGTGTTATAGAAAAGATTGTCAATTTCTTTGCGTATTTATGCCCTATTACTTAATGAGCTGTTTTGATGATGGAAGTCAAACTACCTTTTTATTTATAGTGGAAGATTGGAAAAAGTTTGGTAGAATATATAAGCCAAAGTGCCATTTCTGACATCTTGTCCAACTGTTACAGGGGTGGTGCCACACAAATTGCTACTTACAGTTATAATGTACTTGTCTTGTAACTGATGCTTGTCCACAAAATTTTAAGGACCAAATTCCACTGGCCTAATTCATAGAAGCAGTTCTAAAATCATAGGGATTGCTCTGCAAATTAAGGTAATGGGATTAAGGACATTGCTGTAACATCTTGGTACCAGCAGAAACTTATGTTTTCCTCCTGACACAGTCACGAGGGCTCAGTAACACCCTGAAAGAAGAGTAGCCATCCTTTAAAAATGTGTCAGTGATACTGAGATCTTAACTGTATCAGAGAATTAAGACTGCATTGCTCATCTTTTTTAATGGGTCTTTCTTAGGTTGAACTAATATCTCACATAAGAAACTTTCCTCAAGGTTAAGGCTAGGAGCAAACACTTGGTTTTGTGAAAACTGGGGAATTGTTGTTGTGATCAGCTGGGCCTGGCTTTCATCTTGTGTTGACCCATTTAAAAGAAGGGCAGCATTCCCAACTTTGCAAATGGAGACAGAGCAGTCAGCACTCAGCTGCAAACTTCAAAACAAATCAGGGCATGGAAGTCAGAGACAGTAACAATGTGTTTTGTTCTCCATACAGTGAATTTTCTTAGCAGCTGCCTTACACCTATGCCTTCTTCAGGGGGCCCAGCCACCCCTGTCCTTCCTCATGGCTCAATATGTGCAGCCCAAGAAGATATGCAAAAATAAGAGATAGCAGATGGTTAAAAACAGTAAAGCAAACATCTATATTTTTGTACTTAGTATTAGAGAGAAAGCCAGTCCATTTGGCAAGTTGTAATGGCCAAAAGAAGGGTGAAATTAGTAGCTATGGCAACAGTGAGCTTGTGCCTATTGATTTTCATCAGGAAACCATGTGAAAACATGCAATTTAGAGGCATTAGCAAAAGGAGGAGGTCTATTTGTTCCAAAACCCATACTGTGCCTTCTTATAAAGCACTTAGTTTCAAAATGATTTTAGGTTTTGTCTGTTTCAATGTAGAAAGCACTTTAATGTAGAAACTCAAAATTTAGCCTTTAGTGTCACCATTTTTGTTGTCATGTTTTCCTCCTTGTATTTTTAACTGAAAAAACTCACAGCAACAATCCTGGCTATTTAAGGTTTGCTCTTCTTTGAGGGTAAGCTCCTAATAATTTATCTTACAAATTCTGGTATTGCAGACTTAATATCATCTCATATGTTATATAGCATGTCTTCAGTCATGTTTCAAAAATAATTAGAATTGTATTATTGCAAACTGATTTAGTGTTCTTTCTTCAGGGAAGAAAATTTGACAACTCCCAGACTTTGCTAGGAAGACCTACTCCTTCAGAGGAATGCCACAATTTCACATCACCAATCACAATTTTGAGTACAAAATTTTCACTGACTTTTAACCTAATAAGAGATGCTTCAGTATAAAACTACAAAAAGAAACCACATGCTGTAAATTTTACGCTTCTGAAACAAATATAACAAGGTGAATATGAACACATAAAAAAATTAATGGACTCATGCTTCTGGCTATCATATGAAAAATATTGAAAACATTTCAATTCAGTATTGCTGGAATGTTAATACTCTTACTTTTAACTCTGCTGTTAACAATTCTTTTATTGCTGTTAACAGCTCTTCTCTTTTTCAAGTACTTAAGTTATAAAATAGAAGACCAGTAAAGACATGCCCTGTTTGCAAAAACACTGTATAATTTGAGAAAATATTTTCTCACTCTTAAAACATGTATTTAGTATTTACATATACCTGTTAAAATTCAATATGCTAAAAGCCCTTATTGAAGCTTAAATGGAAGCAGATGAAAATGATCAAAATAATCCAAAACTTTATTAATGTATTGATACAAATTGGCCATTTTTCATTTCAAGTGGATCTTTCTCAGGTACTTATATCACTTTATCTAGTTAAAACGTGAAGGTGATTGCAATCCTGTCTTATTTTTATTGTACTGCAATTATTCTTTCAGGACTTTCACTGACATTTTGCATAAATAATAAAACAATTCTAAACCAAAATTCCATGGTGATTTGAAACCTGCAGTTTTCTTCAGAAGTTGTAGATGAGAATTGAGAATAGAATATGGTGGTAACATGACCTGATTCAGAGACTTGACTTAATTAGGAAAGCCTAAGTTTTATTTTATTTCTTTTCTTCACATTTAATGAATTATACTGAATATCTAATCCTAGTGGCTGCTTTTCTAAGAATATTTTCCAAAATAGAAAGCACGGTGTTACACTATTCCCTGTGGGTTGGCATTTTTTTGTCCCACATTGGATGGCCAGCTTCCCATAAAACAAGTTCAGCTTGACAATTACAAATTGTTGTTTAGGCATTTTCTTTGCTAAATACATGACCCTTGAGGCTGCCTTATTCGTTGTTATTTAATTGTTCCAACCAATGCACTTTCACTAAAATAGATACATTGGATAACCAAACTGGAATGACAGAAACAAATAAATTGTCACTGGAAGCAATCCATGTACACTCAGTCTAATCCGCTATTAAAGAAATTGCACTATTTTCATTCAGAACAGTGTGCTTCAACAAACATGTTAGCTCAAATTTCCACTGATTTTCAATGTTCTGTTCTGAATTAATGTAATGCCCATAAATATCCATTATTTATACCCAAAAAGCAAACACTTATTTTGTCAATGCAGACAGGTTTTATAACCCTGTGTAAAACAAGGATTCTTGTACAAATCAAGAATAACCACTTTGCTAATATGAAGATATAATAACTTATACACGTTTTATATAAATTCTCAGGCTAATACTCATGCTTGTGGACATGAATTCTTTTCTGTAACATGACAGAGTACTGTTAAGCCATATGCTGTGTTGTGTCATCACCACAGTGCATAGGCAAAATTTCTCTGTGTTCCCTTGACAGCAGAAAGAGAATAACTACCACAAGGAAAGATGGTTTTCACTACAGAAGGACTAGAGGAAGACTATTACATCCAGAAAATATATTTTTTTTAAACTGATACATATGGAGATAAACTGCTCCATGTTTCTAAGAAGGAAAGGAAGACTGCTAATGTAGTAATATGATAGAATCTGTCCTGGTTTGGGCTGGGATAGAAATAATTTTCTTCCTAGTAGCTGGCACAGTGCTATATTTAGGGTTTAAGATGAGAATGATGTTGATAATACCCTGATGTTTTAGTTGGTGCTGAGCAGTGCTTGCACAGTGTCAGGGCCTTTCCTGCCTCTCACTCCACCAGTGAACAAGCTAAGGGTGCACAAGAAGTTGTGAGGGGCAGGATAGGTGACCCCAAATGACCAAAGGAATATCCCATCCCATATGGCATCATGGTCACCATATAAAGTAGGGGAAAGCTGGTTATGGGCTGCAGACTGGAAGCTGGCTCAGCATCAGCCAACATGTACTGAGCAATCACATTGTGAGCCACTGATTTTGTATATTCTAATTATTTTCTCACTATTGTCTCCCCTTCTGTTTCTGTCCTACTAAAATTTCTTTATCTCAGCCCAAAAGTTTTACTGTTTTCCCCCTCAATTCTCTCCTCTATCCCACTGCAGGGGGAGGACTGAACAAGTGGCTGTGGAATGTTTAGCTCTACTGGCCAAATTAAACCACAACAGAATCACAGAATCATTAGGATGGAAAGGGCCTTCAAGATCCCTCAGTCCAATAATTTACCAAACACTGCCAATCATTTACAAACACTACCATTAATGGTAAGAAAATATCCATGATAAGAAAATAGTGACAAGCAATAAGTAATCGGTGCTTTTTATACTTGCCCTTGGAAAGGTTGTAAATCTATCCAGTTCTTCCACAAAGCAAAACATCTGTAAACTGATTGCTGACATTACAATCAAAAGGCTGGCAGTAAATACTACCAAACTCCCAAGTTTTTTTCCTGGTCCAAATATCTTATACACAAAATCCTCCAAAGCGGGAGAAATCTTTATAAGCCGAACTACTCTAAGAACCTGGGAAGAAAGAGAAAAATGCAACTGTATCAATTATTTGATTATCACATTAATCAAAAACTTTCAAAATATCAGACATTCATGGCCAAAAAGGGACCTGCAGTCTTGTAGACCAATAAACATCAAGTTGCCACCACTTGTAATAGATGACAAGTTGTGTGTTAGATTAAAACCACAAAACCAGAAACATAAGCAGCATTGAGGCATACAGGCATGGAAGGCCCCAAGGTCTCCAAGGCTGTAGTCAACTCACCAATAACGAAGAGTCATTACAGAAATGCAATTGGGTGAAACTGGCTTTGGGGTAACATCAGGAACAAAAATATAGACAAAACACACCACAGATATTAAATATGAATGTAATATGGAATTAGACACCAAAGTAGGTTTATAGTGTGTTACCAAACATAAGAATGCCCTCAGGCAGGAGACAAAGTGCATCAGTCTGGATTTAGCAACTGAGAATCTACTGAAGTTCTAGGTAAATGGCTCCAGTTTGATTATCATAATTTGTTTACATTTCATTCTTGTACTAAATGGACAGGGTTTTGAACAGGTTTTGATGGAAGTTCTGCTTTGAGCAGCAGGCTCAATGAGATGGATTTGAAAGGCCACTTCCACTTAGATTTCTCTGATTTTATGATGTTTCTTATACCAGGTTACGTATTCACACAAAAAACTGCCAAGTCTTCTTCCACAGATCGCCTTTCCATTTCAGTGACCTGAAGCAAAATTATTTGGCATTATGTACCACAATAACCTAGTAAATTTGGTAATGAACATATTTTTCTATTTCATATTATATATAACATAGGAAATTTTGGGTTGTGTTTCTCAGTATCAGAGAAACTCAGTATCTCACAACAGCATTGTTTGCCCCTGACATATCTAACACCTCTCAGTACTGGCAGCAAAACTTTCATCTTGTGTGTAACTCCTGACCCATTCGCTACTGAGTCTACTTTGAAAGAGCTGCTGACAACTCTGATTCTCCTATTTCTGCCATTGACATTGACACAGTGACATGAACATCAGTATCAACAAGAGGCAGCGGCAGCAACAGTTGTTTCTGAAGACAATGCACAGCAGCATATGGGGCAACTCAGAGTCTGCGGTGCTTAGGAATAAAAAAGGCGATTTCAAGGTATCACTTGGGTTTCTACAAGAAACATATTGAAACTGAAAGGTAGGAATTACAGTGCAATTATTGTTTGACCTTATCTACAAGTCAAATACAATTACTCTGCTGTTTTTGGAAAGAAAATAAGTTGTTCACACATTGAGCTCATGGTGCCCTGTAGCTTGCTAATAATGTACACCTTTGGATTTCACATGAAGCTAATCTCCCTACCCACTTGTAAGGTATGCAGAATATGCTTGTCATCTAGATTTAACTACCAAAGGAGTGGGGGGAAGAGAGTGAGTCAACTCAAAGAGCAACTTATTCCAAATGTACCAGAGCCCTTACATGAGATGGGATAAGCATCCACTGTCTTCAGCAGCACACAAGGGTCCTGGATTCAGAAGTTACACTAGACAGCTTAACTTTCACAACATTAGCACAAGGTGAGATAAAGTCCTTTCTTTGATATTGTATCATGACTACATTACATATAACCTGAGTACATTAAACTTGTAACCAAGGCAGATAGTGAAATGAGTGATATTTACAAGTACTATTAAAAGTAAACATGCTGCCTTCTTACTTACAAGATTTACTTATGGTGTAAATGTTAGCTCTGTTCCCATCAATACTAGTTTCAGCACAGACCCCAGTGGGGAAAAGATTTCATACTAGTTGGTATTCTGAGTGGTGTTTTAAATAAACTCAATTATCTGCCTTATTTTTTCCCCTTTCTTTGGGGAACTTTAGTTGACCTTTAAGCCACACACTAATCTTATTGATACTATTTGGTTTCTTCATTTATTTTCATTAGGTAACAAATTGAATCTAGCAAAAGTACATTCTAATGAATTTATGCATTTTGTGTAATTGGATTGCAAATTGTATTACATCAAGGAGCTGTAGAAGATGCACTATTTGGATTAAATATAAAAATATATTAAAAACAAATCAAAATTAATAATACAAAAAAGGAACCACTGCTTTGTTACAAATAATGGCTGAATCTCCTGCAAGGGATGACAGTTATTCAGAAAATGACTCTGGTATTTTCCCCAAGCACAAATACAGTACCATCTCTTCAGTCCAGTATAGGTTAAATTCTGTTTAAATCTCTCCCTTTTATAATGGTTCATTACAGATCTCTGCAATAATATGCAAAATCTGTAATTTCTCCACTAATTTAATGTCCTACAGATATAGCTATGTAACAGTCCTTTGCTGTAGCCTTTGACAGAGGGCTTGCAAAGCAGCTTGAATGAATGCACAGTGAATGCAAGGAAGATAGGTGGGAGGGTGGACAGTAGCCAATGTAGTAAAGACTGAGTGATGTGTTGGCAAAAGGTAATGATACAGACCAATGAATAATGCAAACTGAAATGTATGGAAGGAGGACTAGACAACCCAAACAATAATTCTTGCTTGCTATTCTGGAATGTGTCAAGAAGGACTTCCGTTTTCAGTAATCTGTTTTGTTGGCTGACAAGGAACACATTTACCCTGTCATCATGAATACTTAAATGCCTGGAAATCTGCCTAACATTAAGATGTATTCATGTGAAAAAGACATTTTGACCTTGGTTGATTTGAAAATGTGCTATCTAGCTTGCCCAGAACTTAAGTGTGGAGGAATATGGTGTGTATCTTACATGGTGACTTCAAAGGTATTCTGCAACCTTCCAATCATTCACCTCCTAGGGTACTTGGATTGCAAAATACAACCCAAATCATTCAGTGTAGCAGGTATTTCTGCTTGTAAAATGTATGTCTTTCATATATTAAAAAAAAAAAAAAATCACTTCTTGACATTTTCTGTCATAAAAGCTAGCACTGTGTAATTAAAAAAAACACCACCACCACTGCTCCACTAAACTATTTAAATCCATTAAAAAGAAAATACTTATTTTTTTATTACCAGCACCTGCCTACATTTTAATCAAACTTTCAATCCTATGAGTTAGTGATGATGTCATCTATTTAGTCCAACATTCATAATTTATGCTGAAAATTCTTACAAATAAACCACCAGTTGTAAGAGGACTATGTCCTAATAAATATGAACCAATTATTAACTAAGTTGCTGACTGCTTTAACTGACAGCTCCCAGCTACTTTCTCTGTGCTTTTGACACAAGAGAGCAATTGCATACTCCTGACACATCCTCCTCCCTTGCACGTTAGATGCATCATGCTGCATTGAGTAACAACATTCTACATTTTGGACAGCAAAATCAAAGCATTAATGACTTAAAAGTCTTCAAATCATATCAGGTGAAAACAAAATAGATTTTTTTTTTCATCCTGAAAGCTTTCTTGAGGAGGTTTGCAGAACCATTTAGAAAAAATACAGGATGACATTTGCAGAAATCTGAGAAGACCATTATGTTTCAACCTACACTTGGGGAGATTGCTTCCCCCATGCTGTATTCATGTTTACAGTATGTGTCACTCTAACTAATCCCATTTATTGACAGAACACTGTCTGATGATTTATTATTTTCCCTTATTGAGTATTACTTATTCACCATGCTAATCCACTGCTGAATAATGGGCAGATGTGAATTCTTTAAAAGATATATTCTTAAAAAACCTCTTTATTTGGCCCTGTGGAACATAACACATAACGAATACCAGTGCTTTTGCCCAAAACTGGACCAAACCTAAGCACTTGAAGGAGGATGATTGGAAAATTGGTTGGGTTGGCTAACAAGAAGAATCAGCCAGAATGATAAATCAGAATTAGTGGTTTTTTGTCTCTCTTTCCTGCTCTTCCCCCAAGTGAAAATGCAAGAAGTGCCTCAATAAACACACTCCCTCTAGATAAGGAATGGCTGGAGATCTAAAAACCCAAGTCTAAGATGATTCTGGAGAAATTACCTCAGAAGACCCACAGTAACTTAGCTTAGCATGTGGCTGCCACAGAGATGATTTGGAGAAACAACAGCAAGTGAATTAAGGCCTCAGGGAGAGCAGCCAGGAAAGCAGGGGTGGACACTATGGGAAGGTGATGTTGTAAACAGCTGTGTAAAAGGTCAAGGCTCAGTGAAGAACAATGAAGAAACAAACCAAAACCTACTGAACAGTACAGCTCAGATAAGAAATGGGAGTTACTGATAACAGAAAGGACTTATCAGCAAAATTAGAAAGAATACTATTTTTGTATATCCACACAATGAAAATAGTTAAAACTAGATATTTTTTATTTTAAAGTTATTCTCAAAATGAGTCAATACTGTGAGAAAATTGAAATTTGTGTGAAATGTGGTTGGGTAACATTTTAATTTGGTATATAGAGTAAAAAGTAAAAGTGGCTGATCATACCTGAAAATACGTAAATTGAGAGTGATAGAGATCTGGATAAATATGGAGAGTGGTTCCAATTACAAGCAGCAACTCAAACTTGTGAAGAGATGAGCTGATGTATCCTGTGAAACCCAAACACCAGATCTTCAGAAGAGCTTCTAAATCAAACAGAACTGTAAAAGCAACCTAGATGGATATATAAAATAAGAAAGATGCATTCAAAACACTGAGTTATGTTAAACGTTTCTCTGTCATTATGTCTATTAGGGCATTGTATGGCAAAAATAAAGATCTTCATAATATTTAACAAAACCAACCATATTCTAAACAGAATATACAATAATAGATTTCGCTTCATAAAATTTTCTAGACTCAACACAGACAGGTAGATTTCATGATTTGGAAAGCATGAAGTAATAAATCCATCCAGATGATCTTTCACTTTAAATACATACATAAAAAAGAAAATATGATGACATGACTTTTTCAAAATATGAAGAAACACGTATGAGATTTCCGAAGAATTTCAAGAGATCTAAGAAAGACACCAAAGTTTGAAAATTGCTACTTCAATTTTCTAAAACATCCATAGTTATATGACAACCAAAACAGGTAGAAAAGAAGTAATGGTTTTTAAGCATCTAAACCAAATTTTAAAAGGAGAGGAAATTCAAAGTCAGTCCAGAATTAATTAATTTTCATAACGATGTTAAAGAACTTGGACATGGGGGGAAGTTACAGGGGAAGAAATTTACTTGTAGGGAATGACTTTGGGATTCTTCCAGAAAACTTTCTTGAAATATTTGCATAGTAAAATGCATAATGTTCCGTTTGAACAACAGCATAGGTGTACATCTTCAAGATTTATTTTCTCTTACTTCTCTCACTACCAAAAATCATTCTGGCTAGGCACACTTCCTCATGTGCCTTCTCATTTTACCACTGTATATACTGTAAGATGTTCTTTTCTACAGTTTCCAACAGCCAGGATATGCAATGAAAATAAGCTTTTCTGTGATTCAGAAATGTTCCTTTCTGACCCTTTACACACACTGAGGTTTAAAAGAGGGCCTACAATAACACTAGGTCATATCTAATTGCAACTAATACTTTCAAAGTGCAGTACAAATAAAGAAAATACAGCTTAAATCTCCTTTGAGGAGAAGCATTATAAGTCTGTTAAGATGAAGAGGCTAATTGACTGTGGGACATGCGATCTACTGAATTTAGCAGGCGATAAAAAAGTTAGAGACTAAGATTTTAATCCTGACCCTGACAATGAAAATTTCTGGGATGCTGTCTTAAGTATTTATGTGATTTAAAATTTAAACTGTGCAGTCCATCAAAAATATATCTTTCAACATGAAAGATGGAAGTTGTAAGATAGCTAAATAAAATTTTACATATTTTATGTGTACAGGACCGTTACAAACAGGAGTGGAAATGGAAATTAAACACTGATGTTTATGCCAGACAGTGTAGGGACACATTTATGCTCTTATCCTCAAATGGATCTGGCCAGTTTTACAGCCTGTGTTCTGGGATCTTAAAGAAGTCTAGAACAATGAGCCAGGTTTGAAGAGACTACTTCTTCACATAAAATTCTCTAAGACACGAGAAAAATGTTTTAGCAAAAAAATCTTAAAAGTAAAGCTCACTTTTAATGACACAACATCTACTGAGTCCTAAAAGAAGAAGGCCATTAAATTAGGCAAAATGGAACAGTGGTTAGAAAGCAGCTGGGATTCAACTCAGAGCAGGTGGAATAACAATGCCATTTAAATACACACATACACACTTCAGAGCACATAGGCTTCCTATTAGAACAAGACTAACAAATATGATGTTAAGTGTATTTTAATTTATTCTAAAAATGTGTGGGCAGGATCATTTGCATTTCACATACTTGTCAAAGGAATTCAAACCACTGGCACTTAAAAATGTATCAAATGGTTTGCATAACATCTGATTACATTTATACACCTGTCTTCCTGCTGACAGAGCTTGTATTTTTTTCCTTCCTTGTAATTAATTACAGGAGAAGATTCAGAATATCTGACTAGAACTTTTTGTTAGGTGTGAAACGCAATACAATTTTATAGTTTTGTGGGGGTTTTTTAAAGCTGGAATAATTCCTTTCATTGTGGTAGAGACAAGGCAAAAGCAAACTCATACAAGAAGCCAGAGCAGAAAAAGTAGGTATAACACATAAGTAGCCACCAAGTAGCCACCCTAGAGGAGCAATGGGCCATTTCCCTGATAGTCATGTCCCTTTTGGTCACCTGGAAGCTTTCTGGTATTAATCCCACCTTCATCAACATTACCTTTTGCTAGTAGCCACTCAACACTTTTTTTTTGGCAGAGGCAGAGCTCACTATCAGTCAGCATCCAACAGTGACAGACTCTTTTACTGTGTTTTACTTGAAAGGTTACCAAGCTGCCAAGAAAGATAAGAATTCTTCCAAGAAGGATCAGTGGGATTAAGGGCACAGACCTCTACCACTTCCCTCACTACCAGATGTGACACAGCATTCAATCCTTCCTTCATCTAGCACAGGGCAAAGGCTACCCAAAGGCAGCAGTGCAAGGGTAAAGTTACAAAAGGAATCTAGGAGAAATTATAAAGGAGCACCAGGTTTTGAACTCTGGTATTCAGACAGTATTTGTGGGAATTGTATGCAACTCAAATACAACAGCTAGTATGTAACAGGTTATAATGGAAGACCTATATAAAAAACCAGCACCCATAATTATTCTGTCTAGGTATTGAGCACTTAAAGTCAGCATCCTCATTAAAAATTACCAAAGTGTGTTTGAAGCTCTACTCTTTCCAGGATACTGCACTGAGGTTTTGAGTAATCCTGTTAAAATTCTGGTTTTGCTTAATCTGCAGGACTGATGCATACAAGTTAAAATGCCTATCAGAACCTCTTATTTGCTACTGGGTATACAAAATTATGCAAATAATGGATCTGGGTATAAATTAATTTCTTTTATCTTCTTGTTTAGCCTTTGCCTTCTTGAGTTTGTTTTTTCTTTCCAACAATGAAAACAGGTTTATTTTCTTAATATGAAGCATCTCAATAAATTCATTTAGATTTGCTCACTGAGTTTAAGTGGATGTATTTCTACAATTCTAGGCCACTAAAATGTGTGAGACATAAGACAGACCAAATGAGATATTTTATTAGACATGTCTTCTCCTAAAGCCAGCAGCTTCCAAGATAACTTCTAGAACACAGATCAGAAAGCCAGATATGCTTGCTGTAGTCTATCTGGCCATTTCCTTCAGCAAAGTGAATCCTCACTGCTGTTGGCTGCTCAAGTCAGCTCCCATTGAAGGGAAAGCTTTCTGTAGCCTACTCTAATGGAAAAGACAGAGCAACAGCAGAGCATCCTGCTCCAACTAGTCTTCTTCACCAAGAAAACAAACATTGTGGAATAACCTGCATTGTCTGAGTATTCAGCTTTTTCAAGGCTCTTAAAAATATTTCCTTTGTACAACCTTTGTGCTACAAAGAGCAAGTTTCACAACAACCAAATAGGAAATTACACCAGCTTATCAATTTTTCCTTTCTCAGGATTTTTTTATTCTTCTGCTCTTTGGATACTTTGTTCCTCCTTTTATAACAAACTAGGGTTTTGTTAGTTTGATTTTTATAGTGCCTCTAGTAAAAGCATCACAGGATTAAAAAAAGGAGAAACAAAACTAGGAAATCCAATAAATGGACATAAGAAATGCTTTACAAATAAAAAATCCCACCATTCTCTATCCCAGAATACTTTACCTCATATACTTGGAAATGTAAAAAGGTAAATAAATGGGTTTTCTGACAACCGCTCCACTAAGAAATCAATTATCTAAGTTATGCAGAAAGAGAAAAATGTATTGTTAAAGAAAACTGGACATTGCTTATAGGACAGAATTATAATACACTAGTGTACATTATATACTCACCTCAAATAAACCCTGAAAGTATTTCTACTGGAAAAAAAATAACCCTACAAACTTTATACTAGAAATAAATTTTGAAGAAATTGTTTCTAGCACTGATTAATAAAAGCATAATTTATATATTCAGAGCCAAAATAGAAATAGGACACGCAGTGTTCCCTATTTTGAATATAAATAGAAATAATGTTATTTTGTTAAGAATCCAGTCTCCACTTGCTGTATCCTGGGCACAAAGCAAAAATGCCTGCTGTGAAGAGTTCATGGCCTCAGGCTTTAATGCTGACTTAATTATTTGTTTCCAGCCAAGGATATTGTACTGGATTTGCCTGTGTCAGGGTTAATTTTCCCCATCATACTTTGTATGGTGCTATTTGGATTTGTGCCTGACACAGTGTTGGTAACACAGGGATGTTTCAGCTGTTGCTGAGCAGCGCTCAAACAGAGTCAAGGCTTTTTCTACCTCTCATCCCACCAGTGATCAGGCTGGGGGTGCAGAAGAAATGGGGAGGGGAAACAGCCAGGACATATGATCCCAACTGAACACAAGGATATCCTATGCCACAGAGCATTGTGTCTAGCATATAAGGCTAGAGGTAGCAGAAGGAAGGGGGGGGCATATTTAAAGTGATGCTGTTTGTCTTCACAAGTTACTGCTATGGCTGATGGAGCCTGGCTTTCCTGGAGATGGTTTCCCTGCCCATTGGAAGTGGTGAATGAATCCCATGTTCTGCTTTGCTTGTGTATATGACTTTTGCTTTACCTATTAAATTGTTTTTATCTCAACCCATGAGTTGTTTCACTTTTACTCTGACCATTCTCTGCCCCATCCCACTGAGGGAGAGTAAACAAGAGGATGCATTGGTCTGAGCTGCTGGCTGGGGTTAAACCATGATGGAGATCAAAGTGAGTTTCCCTGTCCTCAATTCTACTCTAAGATCTGTGGCGCATTTTGTAAGACAACCCAGCATTTGCTGGTTTTATTCCAATGTCTTATTTTCAGGATAAAAATTTTCATGTTCATGGTGTTTTTCAAATAGTCCTAGAACTTGAGATAAAGCAAAGACATTACATTTCACAAGTATTCTTGTAATTGTTGTCCACACCAACATTGACTCAATATTCGTACAAAATACAGCAATCCCCAGCAACATGAGAGAGAGTGAAGAATGATGCATCCCCGCTGTCTATAATTTGCACTTTTTAAAGGTTTGGACTCTGGTGCTGTTTATAACAGGTTTTTTGCTCTCATTTCTGTCCCAGAACTGGTGAACTTTCAGCTTCATACAATTTTAAGAGATCAGATACAAATTCAAAAACAAAGATTAAAAATAGATATAAATTCAATCTTATAAAAAAAGGAGATTCATAAAGCATTGTACTGTTATGAACTAAAGGGTTTAAAGCTGGGCATATGACTCTGAATATCAAATATATTTAAACATAGAAAACCACACAACAACCAAAACCAGAGAAACAACAAGGAACATACTGCTATCATTCCCTCTAGTCTAAGAATGACCCCTCTGGGTCCAAAGGACTGTGTGACTATTGAAGCCAGGGAAATTACAGTAAGCATGAAGTAGTATGTGCCCAATCCAGGCAAGGTTCTAGGATCTCCAGTGTATGCTCTACAGTAAGATCCTTGACCAGCTAATGACTCAAACAGGCTCCCTGTCAGAATGTCACTTGTACCTCCACTTGAATGGTTCAGGAGCACAGACTCCTCCTTTGCAGAATTCACGACTACATAAATGGGGTTTTTTTGTAGTGTGCTCTTGCAATTGCTGAAGCCAGACTATTTGTAACACTATTTTGGTTATGCTTAAGGACCTTCTGCCAGCTAAGTATATAAAATAAAGACTATTTAGGAAGAAGTTCAATATTATATTTTTTAAATACAATGTTTTGTCATCTTTTTAAAGTTAAATTCTTCTGAATGTTACACTTCTGCTAGAAAAAGTTAGCAACTCAGCAGCAATGCATTGCCTGCAGATGTTATACAAGCCTCAGCTCACTACCACTAATATTTTGTTTGAGGAAATTACCTTTCAAAAGGTTGTAGGATAGGGTTGTCAGCCATTGTCAGACAGAGGAAGTTGAACAAGTTAGCAAAGTATTCTTGGAATGATTCAGGGAATAAGAAATTACACACTAAAATGTTCTTGACAATCACATTTTTTACTTTAGCTTATCTTGAAAATTACCCAGATAGTCGTTTTACCATACTCACCTCAGCAAGATAAAATTCATCATATTGTCTCTTGAAATTTTCTCCTTTATAGTAGTTGCTAGCAGCAACAATCACATCGACAGCAACCATGCTTAGTATGAACATATGAAATACAGATGACCTCATCATTTTCTACAAAAGAAAAAGTAAATTTTATCATCAATTGAGTCCAACCATGTGCATTTTAAAGTTCTATTACACTGTCAAAACATAATCAGGTATAATAATATGCTATTCTAAAGCTTCTTTATATGATTTTCATGTATTACTCTTTAAAATATGTTGCTTCAACTAGTTTACATGCACAGTTTTGAGATTTTTTGGTACTTTTAGTTTTTATTTGCCAATTGACTTCTTGCTGAAGGTTTATAATTTAATATGATATCCATTACTTTAGTATGTTTTAAAGCATAAAGAACACATATCTCTAGTCATTTGACCTTGTTTGATACTCCTGCATTATGATTTGTTCATGCAAATCTTGATGGCTTATCGATCAGGGAAAAGTTACATCAATTCTATCTTGTGCACTGCTTTTGCTCAAGAAACATGTTTTATGGTATTTACCTGATGTCAAACTATTGCCTAAATGAATAGAACACATCTACATATAGTAGATATACACATCTGAACCTATGAGCTATCAAGTACTCACAGATAATTCACATATCTGTGTACTTAATGCTTTGTGTCACTGCTGCTGTAGCCACACAGGAGAGAAGAGAGAAAGAGAGGCACAGAGCAGTGCCGAGGAGTTTACATCTGTGAGATGCCAAAACATTACTGACAGGATACATAAGATGTATGCAGAAGTTCAAAGAAGTAACTTGTAAGCACCCATCACAAAGACCATGCACTTATGATTTACCCTAAAAGCTAAACCACCTCCTTCACTGGGTCAGCCACAGTAGAAGCTAGAGTCAAACACAGAACATATTGTTATTGAATATGCTGCTCTGTTCAAAACAGAACATACTGTTATTTTACATTAAAAAAAAACTTTGAATGAATGGTCACTAATATTGATATTGTTTTATACATTTCCACAAGTAATACAGTTCAGGTCTTTAATATGAGTAAGTTATGTACCATTATGGCTCCTTGTGTTTGTGTGTAAGTGTAAGTTGTACTTAGAGTGGAGAAGGCCATTTTTATTTGTTCCTGAGTTTGTATATAGAAGTGCCTAACAAAAGTTCAGGAAAAAGAGAACTAAAAATTTAGAAGAACTCTGCCTCCTTTCATCTTTTCCGTAAAGATTCTGTGTACCTGTACTGGCTTATGTACACATAATCACACAATTATTTAAGTTGGAAGTAACTTGAGATGATCTAGTCTGGTGCTGCCTGCTTAAGAAAAGTTAGCTAGAGCAGGTATTCCAGAACTTTGTTCAGTCAGAGTTTGAGTATCTTGACATATGAAGGCTCTGCAACCCATCTGTGCAACCTGTTCCACTATTTGACCACCTTCACAGTGAAAGAGTCTCCCAGAAATCAGGGGCTGGAGATTCCTGAAGGTCAGTCTTACCTATCAAGATGTGTGAAAAACGCCTCAACCATTTCTATGCCACTGCCTTGCCTTTCAAGGTCTCCTAACCCTTTCAACAGCAGGCTCATATTTCTCTAGTCTTCCTTTTGCTTATCGTATATGTAGAAGCCCTTCTTGTTGCCTTCCATGTCATGGCAGATTCAATCCTATAACTCCACTCTCAGACAGGATATTTGTACTCCTCCTGGGCCACTTGGCCCTGATTCCATCTCTTGTATGTTTCCTTTTCAATTCAGAGTTTTTTCCAGAGCTACTGGTTCAATTATGTAGACCTCCTGTCATGTTTGTTTGATTTCCTGTACTTTGAAGGAGACAATTTTTCAACTTGAAGGAGGAAGATCCTTGAAAATCAACCAGTTCTTCTGGAACATTTAATCTCTATGACTGTCTACTATGGGATTCTTCCAAGCAGACACCTGAACATGAAAAAGTCTGAACACCAGGGTTGTGGTCCTATCTTCTGGCTTTGTTCCTTCTTTAAAGGTTCCTGAATTCCACATTCTTATGATCATTGCAAAAAAGCAATTCACTGCTCCTGAATTCATTCACTGCTCCTGAATCTCACAACCCAACCAATTTCTCCTTCCTGGCAAGTATGATGTCACTCCAGAAAACCTGATCTCATCAGTACAAGTTTTAGGAAGTTACCACCCCTGCAATGCAGAAATCTGGACTGTTTTCTGCTGTATTGTCCTTCTAGCAGAGTAATTACACTGCCCCAGGAGAACTGAGGCATGTGAAACTCATAGAATCATGGAACTGTTTAGGTTGAAAGGAATCTCAAAGATCATCTACTTCAGAAACATGCAAAATTTAAGAAACACATATTTTTAAATTTGTAAGATATATTAACACATTAGAAAATTCATATACGTAGTTGTAAAATACTGTCTCAGTCTTTAATGAGCTGAGATTGTTATATTCATGAAGAATTGTCAGCATTGACATTTTATGTGTAACCCTGCCTGAAGCTCAGAATCTTAATTAACCCTTCATACAGGGTTGTTGTGTGGCTCTTTTTTTTTTTTTTTTTGGATGAAATTAGAACATAATATGGGATGCATTGGAGACTGCAAGGACTAATACTTGTTCAGCTTTTAGCAAAGCCTTGTGCCTGTCTACTGAAGAATTCAAGCCCTCTTGAATTCCACTGGAGTTTAAGATAGCTTGCTTAAATTGATGATGAATGGAGACTAAGCACATATTTACAAGCATACAAGCTGATGGAATTGCCTCTTGTCTCTTAATATTGCAGACAGAAGACAGCTCAAACACTTCTCATGCAAGCTAGTTTCCTTTTGACCTTAGTGACATAAAATGGTTGTATAATCTATTCTAGAAAGGGAGGTTCAGGAGAGAAGTCTTACATTTAGAAATTTACACAATAAGCAGGGGTTAATAATACCTAAAGCACAGGTAAGTCATCAAAATAGCGGCTAAATAAGGTCTTTGATTTTTAAACCACAAGGCAAGCTATAAGAATACAATAATTAGACGTAAGGCTGCTGGCATCAATCATGCATTTTTTCCAGTGCTGTGATTCAAAACAGGTGTCATTCTATCCTTTACATTTCCATTTCACACAAATTCTAACCAGATAGTTAGTCTCTCTGCATATTTTACACTGTATTTTTAATGGTGTCAAAATTTCCATCATAATAATGAAGTATTCTCAATTGTGAAAGTACTTGCTAAAAGAAACTAGTAAGTGAGGTTGCAAAAGGCACTTTTATCTCCTTTCACAGGGAAGCAAAATGGTAATACAGGAAAAATAAAAATGGATAAACTGTCTTGATATATATGTATATATATGCACACTTTATCATCTAGTCTGTACCTTCAGACATTGTGGTGATTTAGGAATGCTACTCCTCAATTTAGTGCTGCCACTGATATGCTCCAAACCACACTCGCTCACTCCCCCTCTCCCCCTCCCCTGCTAGTGGCTGAGAGAAGAATTGAAGGCACAAAAGGTAAAGATCACGGGCTAAGAACAACTTACTGGAAATGGCAATGAACAGTTACAGCAACAACATTAATAACAAGCATACAAAAGGGAGGTGAGTGAACCACACACAAAATGTTCAGAACCAGCATTACCCGAGCACTCCCTCTGTCACTCTCTCCAGAAGGAAAGACTCCTTCTTGCTGCAAGAGACTCCTTTCCCCCTGACCCCAGCAATGACATGAGGTAGTATAGGATAGCCTCCAGGTTCTAGCCATGCCCTGTTCTGGCCACTGCAAAGACTAATCTTGTCCTGGCCAGAACCAGAACAGAGAGTCATAAAAAGATTTTGCTGTGTGTATTTAATCCTGGAAAATAAATAGCAATAACAGAAATAAAATCCTAGTCATACTTTGGTTCACAGAATCACAGAATGCTTAAAGTTGGCAAATACTTTTAAGACCATCAAGTCTAACCTAGGACCACCATCATGTTTACCATTAAACTGTGTCCTCAAGTGATATAGACACATTTTTTAAAAAAAAATTCTGGGGATGGTGACTCCACCACTTCCCTGAGCAGTCTATTCCAAAGTTTTACAATCCTTTCCATTAAGCAATTTCTTCTAATACCTAACGTAAACCTCCCATAGCGCAACTTGAATCCATTTCTTTTCACCCTGTCACTTGTAAGCTAGAGAAGAGAATGATCCCCACCTTACTCAAATCTCCTTACATAGAGAGAGGAATAAGGTCCTCCCTGAGCCTCCTGTTCTTCAGGCTAAACATCCCCAGCTCCCTCAGCCACTCCTCATAAGACTTGTGCTCCAGCCCATTCACCCGGGTCCTTGCCCTTCTCTGGACTCTCTGCAGCATCTTTTATTTTTCTGTGAGATTCAATACAGCTTGTTGTCAAGGTCGCCTTCCCAATGAAATGGAAACTATTCACTAACAGAAAGTATTACACTGGCATAATATGACTCAGAGTTAAGATAATAAGGAGGCTCAGAGAGGACTCAAGCCAGGCACAGGCAATGTAAAGGCAGAAACAGCTAGCTGAGGCAACAAATTAAGAGACAGCTGTGGTGAGGAACAATAAAAGCACCTAGGTGCTGGCAGAGAGACAGAGCACACAGGGCCAACAAGATGGAGGTATCTGAATAAATACCTCCACCTCACACACAGCAAAAAGGCTACGCTGAGGAGATATCTAAAAAAAAAAAAAAAAAAATTATTTTTGAACCCCAGGACTGGCCAGTTCATGGGGGCCAGATTGGTATCTGTGTTTCTTGATTCTTTCTATGTCATGTCAGAATTTAGCTGCTCACTTTCACGAATGCTGTGCACGATAAGCAGCTTTCCTGCTGGCCTCTCAGACAGCTTGCTGTATCTTTAGGAGATCAATCACAGTGCTCTAACCCACACACCTACTGTGCCCAGCTTCTCCCCTACTCTAATCTGCCTTAGTTTGTTCTTTCTGCATCACAGAATTTTAATTTGTATTTGTACCCTTAAAACACTTTAGACACACCTCTGCTGCTATGTTCAACCATGAGAATACACCATGTCTTTACATTTTTCTGTATTTGGAATGAGGCCTAAATGAAAGTTGAATTTAGTCCACAGCTCTTGCCCAAACCTTG